CATTTGTTAATTACTAAACCACTCTCGTATCGCTACTCTCGTCTGAGACTCCATCCGAGACTGCTTTCAGCAATGTTTAAGGGACCTTCACATACCCCGTCCACCGATAGACGCTCCAAAAATGTTTTTCTTGCTACTCAAAGCCCCTCTAACTAATCGGAAATGATTAAATAATTAATTTGCCAATTACTTAACCACTCTCGTATCTCTACTCTCGTCCGAGACTTGATCCGAGACTGCTTTCAGCAATGTTTAAGGGACCCTCAATTACCCTTTCTACCTACATTGGGTCCACAAAGGATTTTCAATTTATCTAATGCACCCTCAATTAATAAACAAATTGATTTGTGAAGGCATAAACAACTCTCGGATGCACTCTCGGACGATAGTCTTTACTGGAGTTTGGCGCCCTCCGAAAATCCGAGAGTCGAATGAGTGTCCATTCCGAGAGTCCCTAGTCTCGGACTGATCCACCAGGGTAGATATAAAAATATGATTTATATATGTTTGGAATCGATCATCTTAGAATAACAAACCTGGCGTATATTCTTTCGAGTCTAAAAATAAATGACAATTGTGAAAATTACGGTGCGAATGGGGTAATAAATCAAGAAATCACACTAGATATATAGATAGGGTTTCTTTATTCTACTTGTCCCTAAAGTATTCAAATTTAACAAAATATTGAACAGTAAAATGTCTCCAAAAGTGGATCACACAAAAGAATAAACATCACATTCGATTCATATTTATGGTGCCACTGTCGGATCGTCCATACATTCTCCACCCAAGCAAATTTTTCCGCTTCCACATTCTGTGCCATTAGCAATATGATGGGGAAAACGGATACAGGCGGTTAAAGTCATCACGTTTGAGAGTTGTGGAACGGGTATCTCACGATCGACGGCGCAGTGTAAAGCCTGGCAGGTTGAAACGTCTACGAAACAGGCTTTCGTTCCCACCGTCCTTCGGCACTGCTCATCAGCGCTCACGAACTTTCCAGGGAAATATAGAGGCGATACTTCGCTCCGGTCCAACTTATTGTTGAAGCATTTAGGATGATTACTGTAGATGTTAATCTTACTCGAGGAATACTTGGATTTGTTTGACAGTGCAATTGGACCAGTGGTGAGATTTTTCCGTCAGACATTCTCCAATTGACATTATGGATCCCATATCGGTGAGGCATCCATCTGTTTGGTAATTTTCAATATGCTTGGCACCCATTCTAGAGTAAAAAGTACGGATTTTTTAAATGTTCTTTTTTTTCTTAGAAGATCCTCAGATGAAAAACTATTGCCTTTGAAAATCTCTCAGTGTGACCAACAATTAAATAAGAAATAGTTCTTTAGTCTTTTCCATACGTACGTGTGATCAATTTCATACACAGCTGAAAGAATTCCATCAAATCCGAAGTTATCGTGAATCATAGCTATTTTGAAAAGCTGTTTTATGTCATCAGATCTTTGGCAAGCTCCATCCTGACCGTAGAGCCCTTCATTCATAGCGAAACAATTCGATTCATAAGATGGAGATTTCAGAACATAAAATCAAAGAAGAAGCAAGTGACAATTCCTGAACTTTGAAGGAATTCCGTCATCGGAAATTTACATTTGGATGAAGAAATCAAGGGGAACTCAATTTCAGTTGAAGTATTCCACGAAAGTTGATCCAAATCAGGAATATTCAGGTCAACAGATCCTTTAATTTTGAATTTATCAAAAATTCTGCGATATTCATATGAATCTTACCTCAGCTAATACAATACCCGCGATATTTAGTCTGAACATGGGATTTTCGATGTATCTGAATTTTAAATCTACACCGTTCCAAAATGCCAGCAAGTAGGCGATTTTATCGGTATAATTTTCATTGAATTTTTTGTAGATATCATGAGCAACGACAACTAATATTCGAGGGTAAATAGTGTCAGGTTTTAAAGGACATTCGAAGATGTATACACGTGAATATTCTTTGCACTTGGCACATATTTCGTCTGCGTTCTGATCATCGATCATGGAAAGATTACCGCATCGATTGAAGCATTTCCTATGCTCTTTAGAGCATGCACCAAGAGAAATGTTTGTTGTTACCTGAGCTTCCGTTGGTTTTGCGGTATTGTTGGTTGCCAGTACTGAAATAATTCGAAACCATGACTACGATCAACAATGGAGAAAAACACAATTGAATTGAATAAACTTCTAAGACCTACATAAGGATATTTGTCATCCACTGGAGGGGGTGCTCTCCTATAGACAATGTGATAATGATGATCATCTTGCTCGGACTCGGGAACGTCATCCACAGATCTGCGTTGCCTCTTGACTTCCTCAATGAGACGTTCAGGAATTGATGTGATTACCAAATTTTCCGATGCTATTGTTCCAATCTGAATGCCACAGACCAGGAACCTCAGTGAATAATGCAGTTTGACGGTTTACGAGAGAGATCCAATTTATTGGAATGAGCAAAATGAATTCAGTAGCAAAGGGTCTAGGATAACAAGTCGACTCATCTCGTAGTCAAACGCGCGAGCAATATCTCTGAATTTGAGAGAGATAGCGAAATTTTTGTGAAGAGCTTTCTTGTAGCTCATTCTGCTGTGCAAAACGGTCCTCGGAAGAATTTCGCCATCTCCGGCAGATTTAGGGATTTCTCGAAAACTCAACCAGGAGATAAGTTGCCCTTCACCACTTCGCTGCTGGAATAATTGCCTTTCTAGAAAATGGGAAAATTTGTAAACTGTATTGATATTTATGCCACTCATGCCTGAAACCGGCTGAATTAGACACGAGACGCGAAGCGTCGAGCTTCGTGACATAAAATTTTGTTCAGTACTTGTTGGGAAATTTCGTCCTTAACGTGTGTGGTTACATCACTCGCCTTCGGCTCATGCTGTAAACCCCACACACGTTAAAGACGATATTGCCCCACATGTACTGAAATATACTATTTTAGATGTGAGCATGTTCTGTGTGTGTTTCTGTGATCTGCATGTAGTATTATTCATGCTACCAATGAAAATTTGTCAATGGTCAATCTCTGCCCGGATTTCTACTCGAAATATCTACTAAAATGAACCATTCAACTCCAACTTAATGTTTGCGCCTCAATGTAATATTCATTTTCTATTTCACTTACAATTTCTCGACTGCTATCAGTTCTTTGACGAATCGTTAGTACCGCAGCTTTTTCCAAATCTTCGAATCCTTTTACCGTCTCCAACACCTATATACAGACATCACCAACATCATGAATAATTTTCGAAAAATATTGAATAGGGAGGCAGCTTGAAAGCGGGCTCACTGTGTTTTTTTTCGTTAGAACAGAGTCTGAGTTTCTCGACACTAGTGAGTAAACAGGGGTATCTTGTCCAAAGAGCACTCTATCCGTTGGTGTCAGCCCCAATTCAATATTTTTTCCGAAAGCCTTCAGGTTCAATTGAGTGCCAGCGCCCGCTGACTTCTTGTGAACTTTCGGCCAATGAATTCCGGAGATTTCATATTCAGGCACTAATAGGCTTGCATTTTTTAATAATACGAGATACACTTACTTTATGTAGTTGGACCGCATTCGCAACATAGAGTGTCACAAAGCTCCAAAATAACGACGTAAATCCTGAAAGGTGTGCCACCATATGTTAATTCTATTAAATTTTTACATGAGATCATGAAAAACAATTGCACAATGACATTATTTTTATAAATGTGTGTAGTAATTATTGCTAATAAATTAGTAATTTGCTTTCGAATGGGTTCTCCTTTTTGAAATTTTTGTCACAAATGGCTAAAGTAATTCCAAAAAAGCTGAAACTTTGACAGATTATAGGTCTTAATGAGAACTAACTCTGCAGAAAATTTCCGCCCGATCGATCAACTAATTATTGAGAAAAAGCGATTCGTTTTTAAATCGTTTTCCGTAAATATCTTCAAAATTACTGAAAAGTGCACTTTTGAAACGGTTTACTGTGCATAAAGCGGTTGTTTTCCGCACGGCGTGCGTAAAGTTGGAGAGCGTGCACAAACACAACCACTTTATACTACCGTTCCGAATAGTGAACTCGGTAAGTATCACAATTAAATAGTATGTATTACAAATGCGTGCGAAAAAGTGGATCTTTACGCACTAGTAACACGATATAGTATTTCGTACTTTTTGGAACATAATGGATCGACGTAACACAAAAAATTCGAAAGTTAAATTTACACGATTACAACACGCACGACAAAATTTAATAGAAAAACCTATCGAATTCGTTAGAAAATTCTATTGAATTTCTGTTAAACTTTCTATTAGTTTTTGATTGATTCTATTGACATGTTCAATAGAAAACATTCAATAGAAAAAGTCAACAGAATTCGAGTTTTCTATATAACTTATTCTTTTCATATATTTTCTATAGAATTTGCTCGACTCAAATTTTCTAAGATTTTTTCATTCTATTTTTCTTCTCTTCTCATCAAGAAAATCAAACGAAAAAACTTAAAAAATTATAGCCGAGGAAATTCTATAGAAAATATCTCAATAGAATAAGTTATGTCGAAAAATTGAATTCTATTGACTTTTCTACTGAATATTTTCCATTGAACATTTCAATAGAATCGGCCAAAAACTAATAGAACAGTTCAATAGAAATTCAATAGAATTTTCTAACGAATTTGATAGGTTTTTCTATTAAATTTTTTCGTCCGCGAAAGCTTTCATTCGAAAGAAAAAACTTTTACGGATATACTATTCCAGGGATATACACGTACCTCTCATCTTCGGTTGACTGGATCTTTCTTCGAACTAGCGACTGTTGAAAAATCGTCTCCGGTTTTCCTTTATAAAACATCGAGTATCTCGAACGTGAATGCAAATTGAATAAGGTCGAACTCGAAGCCCGAATGATAACATGCTTCAGTAGGATCACCGACAGATGACGTAGTGAAAAAAACAAGTGAGAAATTGCTTTTGTATTGTGTATAATAAATTAGCAATATGCTTCCAAATGGCTATTTCGCACATTATTTCGTTCTATCATGCATAATTAATTGTTTATTCCATTATATTAAATTGAATAAAGTTGCTTTTCCACTAATTTTATCAGATTTTCCACTTAGTTAAATGTTATCAGCTTCATTATTGTTATTATCCCTTTCTTCTCTACAACCGATTGGTTTTTTGCTCCCTAATGGAACTTTTATAATCATCAATTTTTACGATCTTCAAATTTTGCATGGAAATGTAGAATGCCATGAAACGTCAAGATACTATCATTTTAGAAAATGTGTGAATGTACGTCCATATGTGTGTGCAGATTTTTCGGAAATTTTTTATAAATATTCGCTAAACAAACAAGAGTTCGAGCTTTTTGAGTAGAAGCCATGTGATCGTTTATGTATTATAACTCTTTCTTTCATTTCTACCAATTTCATTGATAGTAAGCTTCCGAATGGATCTGTACCAATTCTACTATTATAAAAATAAATGGAGTAAAATAGACGATTTGAAACTTCAAAAAAATATGCCAATGAATCCTACAGAAAGCATATGTCAATTGTGGAACAGATCATGAATAAGAAGAAGATACTACAATTTATCGAAAGAACATCAAAATTAGTCATATAATTTCCCCAGAAAAATAATTGAATAATTTTAATTTTTTGTAGGGGAATAGAGGCAATGAAAGGGAAGGCCGAAACTGGAAAATTCTGGGCTGTAAGAAATTTTATAATTATTGTTTTGCACTCTGAATAGAATTCCGATTATAAATGTAATAATTGAAACCGTATTTAGTGAGTAAAGATATTCAGCATTATAATAAATCGCTGACTGAAATTGGGAATTGGACGAGTGATGAACTGAGATGCATTCTGTTCATTAATCTCAACACTCAGTACAATAAAAACCATGATGAAGAATCTATGAAAAAAAATCAAAAAGAAGAAAACAATACGGAAAGGTCTAATGAAAGAGCATCCACGTCACGGCCGCGGCGACGGTAGTTCCCTATAAATACCATTATCATTAAAAATTTCTAGATAATTCAACAGAGAAGAATAGAATAGAATATGCGCGGCTGGTCACTTAAAGCGCCCAGAGTCACCTGAATCATACGATCTTTTGTAACATCCGCCTTAGTTTCGGTCAGTCACACAGCCCCAGCCCTGTGATTCTCACTAGGCTAATAAGGCTGGTGACAGCCGCTTGTTGTAAGTCCTCTGGTTCCAGGAAAGCCTGGCCCCAGATTTTATAGCGACGGAGTGCTAATAGGGGGCATTCACATAAAATGTGGATGACGCCCTCCTTATCGCCTCCGCACAGTCTGCAGTCTTCTTGAGACAAATTTAGTCTTCTTGAGACACTTAAAATATTCGTAATTAGTTCCTGAAGGCTCATGCCAAAGGAGAACGCGAGTAAAATTGTCAAACTTGAGAATTTTGTCTATTGAAGGCAAACTTGATTTTCAGCGCTAAAGCGCTAAGTGTTCATGAACGCGCACAGCCGCGTTTTGTCATATATTTTGTGTGAATAAATAACAAACTTCAGGGTAAAATCGAGTAGTATCTATCACTACTCAAAATTTGAGATCGTTGAATAAAGTTCTCACCACATTATAGCCACACAAGTAAACTGATCACTTAAAAATAGAAAAATAGGAATATCTCGAAAACTTTCAATGCAACGGTACTTATATTTTAATTTGGTCAGATAGCCACCATTATAACGAATATTTTGAAAAAAAAAATTGAATTCGGCTAAGTGGTTTTTGAGATATTAAAGAAAAAAGTTTCACATACAAAGTTGAATATCTCCGTAACTTGTTCGATTTCGAAAGTTATACTAAAAAAGAGAATTTCATCGGCGCGGTACCGTGGACGCGAGTAACGAAGGGTTAAGGGCAATCGTTTTTCATCTGAGGATCTTCTAAGAAAAAAATCCTTACATTTTATTTTAGATTTGGGGCTAAGGATGACGCAGGCAACGAAACGGATGGGTGTTCCCCACGTGATGGATACATAACGTCGCATACGAATAAATACCCGACACAAAATTATTTACATTAGTCCAATTGCACTGTGAAACACATCCAGGAATTCCTCGAGTAAGATTAAAATCAACGAAATATCTCAAAATCTTTGGTTGGAAAAATGATCAACTTGTTTCCGCAGTGAGAATCCAACATGCTTCAACCATAAGTTCGATCGGACGGAAGTCTTGCCTGTGTATCTCCCTGGAAGGTTCATGAACGCTGATGAACAGTGTCGAAGGTTGGTGGGAAACGGAGCCTGGAACGTTGATGCTTCAATCTGCCTGAATTAAAAATGCACATTCTCACGTCGAATAATCACTCCAAAAAACCCAATACCGCAAGTCAGGACCCACTGTCTGACATTGTCAACGGCTGCTGTTGATGGCACAGCATGTGGAGGAGAAAAAATTTGCTTGGGAGGAGAATGTGTCGATGATCCAACAGCGGCACAATAAATATGAATCGAATGTTATGTTTATTTTTTATACAAAAAAATGCAAACATACTATTATGAGAGTTTTCATGTTGATTTGCTAAATAGTTAATATAAACAAATGAAAAAATAAAATAAAAAATATTGGAAACAATAATTTCATAGGCACGAAACATAAATAACAAATTAAGAAGTGATTTAAAAATATTTCCAACCTGAAAGTCCAAGTGCAGGAGTGGGTGCCGAAATATAGTGCAAATGATTTTAAGGGTGATTTCCCAAGCAGGGGAGACTTCCAGACCCCACTGGACAATGTTGTCGCAACCCTGGTTTTCAACTCTGAAACCAGACAGCGTTGCCAACCATACCATAATTATGGTACCGCTACCATAATTTCACATCCGATACCATATACCATAGAGAGGTCTATGGTATCCCTAATTTTACCATAATTTCTTGTTTCGGGGAGGAGACCACGAAAAATACTTGTTTTTTTAAATTCTTTATTCTGCCAATGGATCATCCGGAAATCTCTCGTCATCTGGCAACTGATCACGGAATCCCGAATCATTTTGTATTTGGATGAGCTATTGGTCAATCTCGTCATCACTCTCTCTTTCCCTAGCATCTAGGCGTTATTCATTCGGACTAACATCAAGATTTTCCTCCTCATCATCATGATCAGACCCAACTAGTGGTTCTTCAACTTCATCCAGATAGACATCCTCCACTTTTGCATTGTTGACGTGGTGAATGAGATGAATTTGAGCCAAGAATAATCCAGGAGCTATAAATATTTACATTTTACTGTGTGCTTGAATTCGATTATGTTTATTCTCCACCCAGTTTATCCTTCCAGGAATCGGCAGTACCGCTCCTAGTTATTTCTTCTGTTTGATAGTGTTCAAAGAACAGAAAAAAATGGGATTTTGTATGTTTCATTTCAATTTTCCGAAAAAGGCACTTTTAACGTGGATACCATAATTTGAATTGAAATACCATAATTTTGTTACGTTGGCGCCATAATCGCCTACGTTCAGGTTGGCAACGCTGAACCCACTGAAATGTAGTATATACTGGAAAGGGCACTGCCATGCTAGGCCCGTAAGCGAAAAACGAGCCAGAGAGAGGTAGATTTTCAAGGATACCTGTCTCACTCTAGCAGGCGTTGCGCATGCGTAGAACGAGCATGTACATGCGAGTTAAAAAGCTTATGTACTCTGAGTGGTGCACACTCAATTGTTGCTATTTACGTCTTGGCGATAATTGTCCCATTGTGAGAATAAAAAAATATCCTCTAATCCACGAACAGCTATTTCGTAGAAAATTAGAGGAAAAATCGTGTATTTTGATGTTGTCTTCATTGGATTTCTCATGTATTCTTCATGCATTAAAAAAATTCACAATTACAATATTCTCATTTTTTATTGCAGTATTGGGACAACTAGATATAAACAGATTCCAATTCAACTCCTCGACACACGAGGCATTTTCCTGAACTTGAGAGTCCCTGGAATTCCCTCAAAATAAAACCTATATCATTCAATTTATACTTTCTGTTTCAGGAATTATACTGGACATACCTAAATTTCAAAATCCGAATACTGATGACGATATCGACTCAGAGGATTTCGATACACCTTCAGATTGATTGAACAAATAATCTCTTGAATTGTATATTTTTTTGTATTTTTCCCATGTGGAATTATTTTAATTAAATTGTAAATGGCCCGAGTATTATTACATTGGAAAAAAATGATCAATTCTATGTTATAATGATGCAACAAAAAAAATTGAACGCCAATACTGAATTCTATACGTTCTAGAAGGTAAGAAAACTTTTTGAGCGGACGGTACGAGAGAGATAGGTATCCTTGAAAATCGCCCCTCTCTGTCGGCTCGCGTCAGGCGGATCAGTGCCCTTTCCAGTATATACTACATTTCAGTGGCTGAACCAGAGTACAAAACCAAACTTCATAACAGAGATGTCAGACAAGATGTGAATGTTTTTTGAGACCCCAGTGCAAGAGCGGGTCTCAGGGGAGACTCCTAGACTCCACTGGACAATGTTGTTACAACTCTGCTTTTCAACTCAATTGTCAGAGTTGAAAAGCAGAGTTATAGCAGAGATATCAGACGAGATGTGAATGTTTTTTTGGCCCCAAATGAAAAAGCGAGTATCAAAATGGCGTGCAAATAATTCTAAGGATGATTTAATAACCAGGGGGGACTCCTAGACCCCACTGGACAATATTGTCACAACTCTGGTTTTCAACTCAACTGTCAGAGTTGAAAACCAGAGTTTATAGCAGAGATGTCAGACAAGATGTGAGAATCT